TCACGGCTTTGCTGTGAGGCTTGCAAACCCTAAATCCTAAACCCAAACCCTAAATCCTAAACCCTCAATCCTAAACCCTAAACCCTAAATAACAGCAAGTTTTGGGAAGTCCTCTCCTTGCTGACATGCAGGCAGAGATGGCGCAGGCAGGGGGGGGGGCCACGCTAACGTAATGAGTGCCATCCTTGTCGCTTGCAGCCAAGTGTGCGTCAACTTATACTATAGTCCCCGTTAAGTAGATAGAATATAGGGTTTAGGGTTTAGGGTTTGGGATTTAGGGTCTAGGATTTGAGGATTTAGGGTTTAGGGTTTAGGGTATAGGATTTAAGGATTTAGGGTTTAGGGTATAGTCCCCCTTAAGTAGATAGAATATGGGGTATATGGGGATCTTATAAAAATATACCCAAAGCCATATTCCATTCAGTTAAGGGGGGCTATAGGTGTGATTTTCAGATCTTGGCTTGAGATCTTGCTTGGAAGGCCAGCAAGCTGGGAATCCGGACGCACCTAAAGCTGCGCGATAAGGACCTTTTGTCCCTTACGTGCAGAACCTGCCAAACTAATACAGGCTGGCTCCTGCTTCCTCACAGGAGGGCCTTGTCCGGACGGGTGCCAAGCTGCGCGATCTTGACGTTCGGGAGATGGAGGCATGAGAGGATCTAAGATGGCATATCATGTTTGGACAAAACTCGTGGTATGCGTGGGAGTTGCTGTTGAGGCTTCGCGCGTGGAGGACGTGCCTTGCATGAGCAAGCTAGTTTTCGTGAATCAATTGTTGCCTTCTCTGTAGGTACATGCCTAGACCTAGAGTCCGTTTCAGCACTGGCATTGACTCATTCTGAGGTGGACCACATTCTGGCCAAGATCCCAGACACAGACGCACCTAAGCTGCGTTCTAGGAAGTGGCAACAGGTTCCGCTGCATGTGCCACCGGAGTGTAGAAGCCTCAGTTGGGTTTTGGATTGAGGGGTATGTGATGAGTTAGAAATGAGCAGGAACAGGTAGCAGGTACTGTTGCCAGTCGTTTGTGAGTTTGTTTTGCCTGAGGCTTTTAACGCAGCGCTTCAGAGCCTCATCTTCGACAGCCGCCGCCAAGCTGCAAAGACACATTTCCGCACGCAGCGCGGAAGCCACTTGCGTTGCTAATTCTTACTGGATTTTTTGAGTATTCAATGGTGCGGCAAGGTCTTGCAGGGCTTTTTGCTAGGCTGTTTGGAATTGCAATTCTGCGGCTGCGGCAGGTGAAGGCTGTAAGCATAGTTTCGAACATGCCAAAATGATTCAAAAATAACACAACATGCGCATGCATCCTAGTCCTTTTGCAGCACCGATGAGGACAAGTGCTAGTGTTCAGAAAGCAGTCTTCTGAAAGATGTCCCCAAAACATACCCAGTTAAATTACTTCGGATCTTAGTCAGCAAAGGAGCCATAGTCCAAAGTCCTAGTATTCCCCTTAATAACCCTTATTACCAAAAATACTCCCTTTCATAATCCCCTAGATAACTCCCTTTAAAAAGTTTAGACTATAGCTCAGATAAGGGTTGAAAGGGTAACCCCAAAGGTTGAGACATAGAACCAAAGCCTAACAAGCCCTGGGTTTAAGGTTTAGCCCTTTCTAGGCCCAAGCCTTCAGCGTACCTGGTTCAGAAACTCCTGCCCCAGGTCCCCCTGCCCCCCCTGATGATAGCCCCCCCCCCCAATACTGCATGATCACTACCATATGAGTAGTATTTTATTTGGGGATACTATGGTACCCAATATAGAGTAAGATTATATCCTTTTGGGGTATAGTATTTTACATAAGGAATATACTCTTACTAGGTTCAACCACCAAAAAAAGCGCTACTCATATGACTAGGGGGAAATAAGTGGGGTTCATCCGTAGGGGAGGTGATTACGAAGCTCAAAGCCTGGTCTTTAGGGTTTAGGGTTTAGGGTTTAGGGTTTGCCCCCATGAACATTTGATGCACCCTTGGAATCTGGCACTTTGAACTTCAAACCCTACCATAGACCCTGAACCCTAAACTCATAAACCCTGAACCCTAAACCCTAAACCCCTAAACCCTTAGACCCTAAACCCTAAACCCTGTCTCCTGGGTTTGATTTAGTCGTCGGGGTTTTCCAGCTGCAGTGAACGGACTGTGCCAGAACGTGCTAATGCCTCCGGACCGTCACAGAACGCTTTTCCCAGTCCGGTCTTGTGTAGTGGACTCCCAGTATTGAACCTTGCGATGCTGTATTGGCCATGCAAGCGGCAAACCCTTAAACCCTAAATCCTCCTGAACCCTGAGTCCTGAAGCTTAATCACCTTCCAGGGTCAGGGTTGCTGGCTGCATGGCGCGACTTGGACTCTTCACGTCAAATGGGCGAAGCAGGTCGCAACTTGGCAAATTTGGGCTCTCTGTTCAATTAAGGAATCCTTGAAGGGGCTAAACCCTATGTAAACCTTTACAGGCCCCCTTACGTAGATAGAATATGGGGTATATGGGGATCTTATTGTAATATACCCAAAGCCATATTCTAGCTACTCAAGGGGGACTATAATCCTAAACCCTCTGTAGAAAGGGTACCCATAATCAAGGACTCCCTAAGACCCCTGCCTAAGGCTACCCCAAGTTCCCATAAAGTCTCCAAAAGTGGAATCTTGTTGTCCATTTAGGCTTTCCTTGATGCCATGGAAGCTGGGTATATGTAGTAAAAGATTCAAATTACAAGCAGATGATGAAGTTTAAGTCTCTTGTTGGCACAGCTGTGCAGAATTTTAGTGTTAATCGGTTTCGTCATCCTAGATGGGAAGTAAGACGTGAAAGCGACGAGAGAATGATCGTGATAGGAACAAAGGAACAATTAATCGCAGTATAGACCCACTTACAGTAATGGAGCAGCAATGCCAAAGCACCAGCACATGTCATGACCACTGAGTAGCAGCAATTGCCAGACAGCACTGATTGTAAGCCCAAGAGTAAAGGTAACTTGAGCCGTAGTCTAAACTCCTTAGAGGGGTTGTATAGGGGGGTATTATGGGGCTTATTAAGGGGATACTTATGTCGGGGAATATGATGGGGCTTATTAAGGGAGATACCAGGAGTTTAGAGTACAGCTCACATGACAGGCTGAAAATCTGGAAGCCGAGGCCTTCTTTTCTGGTCCGGTGCTGACTCCTCAAGCGGGATAGCCGCTCGTCCGCAAGAAAGGTTCCTCTCAGCATTTGAGCTACGGACTAAATTTAGGTTGGGGGGACCTATAGGGGACTATATAGGGTTGTGGGGGGGACTTATTAAGGGATGCATTACAAATTCAGTCAAGGGCTCATGTGAGCTGTAGTCTAGACTCCTGAGCGGGGGTTATGTAGGGGATGATATAGCGGACTATTATAGGGACTGTGAAGGGGGATACCAGCAGTTCAGACTACAGAATAGGTCGGGACTGTTCGGTTTCGCAACCTCACACCTTTCATGTTTGTCCTTCCGCCAGCCAAGGTGTGGAAGTGCTGGGATTTTTGACACGTGCTGTGATGGAACAGAAGGCTCGGTTGCCCAGTTTAAAACGGAGGTTAGTATGATTCCTTGCTGTGACATCTACTTGGTATCTGGCATATTGATGGGTCAAACCACTCCGGCCGCGCGTCTAACTGCAAGCACCTCCAAGCCAGCCCTGCAAGTGGACCAGCGGACTTGCTGGGGGCGAACTACGGTGATGGTAAAGTATATCAATCTCGGGAATTATGGAACTATAGTATAGTAAGGTCATGCAGGATTTGTAGTATCAACAGTAGAACTGAACCGCCCGTGATTGGCATCAGGTCGGAAGACGGGTTTTCCGCACAGCAAGCCACAGGCGCCAGCACTTCGGCACTCAGTGTATGTGGCGTTGGCTCTTAACAGAGTGTGGTGGTGTCAAAAGCTAAGTGGATGCAAAATCCTAAGCCCTAAACCCTGAGCCCTTGGTCAGGAGTCTGCCGAGTCAGGTGCCCCGGAGCTTGTATAGTCGTGTCCGGTCCTGGACTTGCGAGCGGGCCCTG